TTGTTGGAGTGATTGTTTGTTCAATGGTATACATTATTGTTGCAATGATTATTTGTTCAATGGTATACATTATTGTTGGAATGATTGTTTGTTCAATGGTATACATTATTGTTGGAATGGTTGTTTGTTGAACGGTATACATTATTGTTGGAATGATTGTTTGTTCAACGGTATACATTATTGTTGGAATGATTGTTTGTTCAATGGTACACATTATTGTTGGTATGATTGTTTGTTCAACGGTATACATTATTGTTGGAGTGATTGTTTGTTCAATGGTATACATTATTGTTGGAATTGTTGTTTGTTGAACGGTATACATTATTGTTGGAATGATTGTTTGTTCAACGGTATACATTATTGTTGGAATGATTGTTTGTTCAATGGTACACATTATTGTTGGTATGATTGTTTGTTCAACGGTATACATTATTGTTGGAGTGATTGTTTGTTCAATGGTATACATTATTGTTGGAATGATTGTTTGTTGAACGGTATACATTATTGTTGGAATGATTGTTTGTTCAATGGTACACGTTATTGTTGGTATGATTGTTTGTTCAACGGTATACATTATTGTTGGAGTGATTGTTTGTTCAATGGTATACATTATTGTTGCAATGATTATTTGTTCAATGGTATACATTATTGTTGGAATGATTGTTTGTTCAATGGTATACATTATTGTTGGAATGGTTGTTTGTTGAACGGTATACATTATTGTTGGAATTATTGTTTGTTGAATGGTCTACATTATTGTTGGAATGATTGTTTGTTCAACGGTATACATTATTGTTGGAATGATTGTTCGTTCAATGGTATACATTATTGTTGGAATGATTGTTTGTTGAATGGTCTACATTATTGTTGGAATTATTGTTTGTTCAACGGTATACATTATTGTTGGAATGATTGTTTGTTCAATGGTACACATTATTGTTGGTATGATTGTTTGTTCAACGGTATACATTATTGTTGGAGTGATTGTTTGTTCAATGGTATACATGATTGTTGCAATGATTATTTGTTCAATGGTATACATTATTGTTGGAATGATTGTTTGTTCAATGGTATACATTATTTTTGGAATGGTTGTTTGTTCAATGGTATACATTAGTGTTGGTATACATTATTGTTGGTATACATTATTCTTGGTATATATTATTGTTGGAATTATTGTTTGTTCAATGGTATACATTATTGTTGGAATGATTGTTTGTTCAAAGGTATACATTATTGTTGGTATGATTGTTTGTTCTGTGGTAAACATTATTGTTGGTATACATTATTGTTGGCATACATTATTGTTGGAATGATTGCTTGTTCAATGGCATACATTATTGTTGGAATGATTGTTTGTTCAATGGTATTCATTATTGTTGGAATACAATAACTCTTAGAGTTATCGCCCTTAAACATAAATTCCCTGTCCCAGTTTTATGTTCGGTTGTTCGGGTTGTCTTTGGGTCGTCTTGGCTTCGACAATAAAGTGCTTGGACTTGATTGCACGTGTCCTGGCTGTTTATCGTGGAGGCGGAACCTTCTTCATTGGCGCTCGGGTGTTGTTCGCCGTCGAAAGGCCCGTCCTCGGTGTCACGAGTAGACAGTAATGCGGTAAGGTTCTTCTTCTTGTTTTGTTTCTTCTTGTTCTTCTTCGTCGTTACGTCGTCATCACCGTCGTCGAGTTTTTCACTTGTTGCGATCTTTGACGTGGTCTGTTTTTTCGGCGCGCAGTTGGCAGTGCTCAGTTGTCCCGGGTGGTCTGCGTCATCGTCGTTGTTGGTGGTGGTGATGGTGCGGTCTCTTTTGCTTTGCTGGAGTGACAGACTGGAGGATTGTATGCTGAGACGCAGAGCCACCATGACGTGTGACAGGGTATTTGTCAGAGAATAGCTGATTTGAAACACGTCGTGGTTGTTCGACTGTTGAGACATGTCCGTACTACGCCGTAAGTAATGGTGAATGGAGAGGTGCTGCTTACAACTGGAGGCGAACTGGGGAGTTGTTCGTGGCTGTTACATTAGAGAGAGACTGTCTAGTGAGCTATTACTGGTCGGACACGGCAAGACGGATCTACGAATCACGTGGTACTGCTTTCGTAACCGTAAAGTACGGTGTACGTCAATCTTGAGGTTACGGGGTCGCGAATAATGCGACGTTGGTCGTGCCGCTGGAGAAAACAAGTTATGCTATCGTTGTTTGCAATGAACAAAGCATTCTCTTTGGAGAGATGGGTGGTCCTGAAAAGGACCGTTGGGTGGTCTGAGGTGGACTCACAGGTGTAGTGTGCACTGGCACTGGTGAATTGTCATCCTTCGCCTGATGTGACACTTGCTACCATACGTCAAACGTCGTATGTATGTGTCCTTCAGTATGGTACACTGAAACGTACCATTATAATCTATCCTGCCGTTAGCATACACGGGGAAACACCCCCGACATTGGTGACATTGCCATGCAGGACACGCTGATGTTGATTGAGATGGTGATGGTGGCGATGGTGCTGATGCTTCCACTAACATCAGCTCTAATTCGCAGTTCTATTCAGCGTTGATAGTAGTGTCCCTTCTGATGATGATTCCAATGAGAATAATTCTGCCTGCAAGTTTTCCATCCTGTAAGTTGTAACACCGCCCGTCCCCTACCCCTTATATAGAGGGCTCAGCTATTCAAAGGTCATAACGTCATCACCTCATGCGCACGCATGGCGTTGTTGAAGTATGACGAGAGTTTGCCAATTTGCCAATGTGTCATTGTTTGTGACGTCTAATTTAAACAGATTTCGAAACGTTCGACATTCATATTGCACTTTTTCTGCAGATGTATCTACAGTAAAGGACGGGAGAAAGTATAACCCCTACCAAAGGTATGACACAGTGTCCCAAACGTACGACAATTCGTTCCAGAAGTATGACAAATCCTTCCAAAAGCCTCGTACAATTCTCGCAGATTTTACTACTAAAATGACGGGGGAATGTATAACCACGCCCATAGTATGACACGCTGTTCCTTATAAAACTATGATAAACTGTTTCCAAAGTATGACCCACCATATCAAAAGTATGGTAGACCATTCCAAAAGTATCACCGGCCCTTATAAACATACGATACACTGTTTTGAAACTTTAACACACTACACCGTGTTTTACATTCCTTTCTTAGCGTGTCTGATACTAGTCATGAGGTCAAGATGTTCCACTCCCGATGGTTACACAGCCAGACATTTCTAGCGACGATATAGTTAAAAATTACAGTAAAAAGAATATGGTTAAAAACGGTTCAATGGTTTGTATGTGGTAAGCGCTTACTCGAAAAATCCTAAGAGAGAGAGAGAGTGAGAGATAGAGAGAGAGACATAGAGAGAGAGACAGAGACAGAGGCTGTGTTTACGAAGAAGAACAGTTGTTTATTAAAGTGTCGCATGTTGTGCTTGACACTAGTGGGCTATAGAGAGTTCGACAGTATAATAGCATGTTAACATTTTAGCAATGCTGCTATGCACTAATGCAGATGATGGACAGTTTACCTCTCCATCTAAAATACTGTACGGGCGAGATTTGCAATGGTTTGAAAATTATGACCCTTTTCTTAAAACCATCTATGGCGACATCAGTAGCAGAGATACTGTATAGCAGGTGTGTGGAAATATAATAACTAGTATGTCAGTTAGCGGTACATGACACCTTTTCAATCGGTAGTGGCCGTGAGGCAGGTTATTCCCTTCCATAGAACCACTGAGTAGTGTATAATGCCTACATTAAACTTCACTCTCCGCTATCTCGTGACACGACAGCTCTTTTCAATCATCGTCGGGATATTCTAGAAGAGACATGTCCGTATTTCTCACTAACTCGTATACAGGGTCTTCCTCGTCAACCGTGATGAGAATGTCGTTGTGCGCCATTTTGTGATAAGCAAGAGAGAGTGAGAGAAGTCTATTCGCTTTACGACCGCAGTTGAAAGGATTATAGCGTCAACACACACAATGGAAGACATCGACAGAGAGAAATGGTGTATAAGATAGTAGATGTAATTTTCGCGACATTGCGCGAGTTATTGCGGAAAACTGGCGACACGACTGCATCGACACTCACGGCTGTGTATTAGGGGACGATTAGAGCAGTTAGACCGATTAACGATGTACGTGGGGTTATTTTCGAGACAATAGGCAAGTCTACGTGAAAGAAAAGGTGTAGAGGCGACGGCGTCGACACACACGGTGGTCGAAACGATTGTGTAATAAGGGATGGTCAGACCTAGTAGCAACAATATACGATAAGCCGTGGACATGTGGCGTGTAACATAATGGAGGCGATTTTCGTCTTTCAACTGCGCGTACCGAGCGTACATTGTGACGGCTATGGCAACAATGAGGACACGTCCAATTCCCCTTCAATCTTTGCAATTAGATTATCTCACTTCAGTGGCATGGACTGGGAGAATGTATGTTATAGAATAACATATACGGTATAAATATCTTATAACGAAACAATCTCTTGAAAGCAGAATGTTGACAGGTACACGTGGTGCTCCCAGATGTGCTTGGAGGCATTCTTGTGGAAAACTGTGGGAACCTTATACTCGAGCGAATACAATGTATTCTTGAATTTAATAGGTGCCCAGGAAACATTTCACTGCCGTTCCGTTTTTGAAATTTGGGCGAAAAGGGGAGTGTACAAATTAAACAATTACAAATGTATTCTACAATGCAGTTGGAAACACGAAATAGGATATAAATGCAAACATTTAAAAAATATGTATTAGCCTTTTTAGATAATATTACAATTCTAATATTTAGCATTAAATACATTAAGTTGGGTCCGATGAGAGGGACAAACTAGCCGCGCATATGTATTTTGCGCCGCGCACACAAAATAACAGTTACGTGGAATAATACGCGTGATATGAGAAGGTGTACCAAGCGATAAAAATAGTACGCCACCGCCGTCTCTAAACTGGTTTCTGGTCCCAGATACGCTTGCGACACTGTTCAAAGTATCACACAATTATCCATAGACGACACCAAGTTTGCAGACGATTAACAGTGTGTGGAGCCAAGGATACGTGCAATTTGGAAATTTTGCTGATGAAATTGCAAATGTGTTCTCATTCTGTGTCTTGATTATACAACTCGTTCATATGGATCATACAGAGAGAAAGTGTGGTTGTAAAGGTAAACGGACATGCCTGCTGTGTGAGGAAACCGCGGATGACAAGACATCTGCTTCTAGATCAGACCAACAGCATGAGAAGGTGACAGAGAAAATTAATAATCTATTACACGTATTATCAAAGTCTAGTACTTACATCCAACATGACTGTAACACCCAATCGCGGCTCTCGGTTAAGTATATTGTATATTATGATACTGCATGATATTATTTAGAAACAAATTATACGAATACAAACTCTGTACAGTAGAGATAAAGAAATGAATGTCAACAAACCATATGTGTGTGTGTGTGTGTCAGTGTTAACAGTATAGTATATCTGTGGTCTATAAACAACAAAGCAATAACGGGTTCCTGTTAAGCTTCACACTGTTTGTAGTGATCTTCTGATATTCGTAAAATTTCTAAGATTATGTAAGGTCTGTTATGCAAATCAACAGTACGATTATTAATTACATTGAAACCTGTCATTCAAAATGGATTTGTTTGTTTCAGACCACTCCACGTGTCTACAGCTACTGCCACCACTGCAATGTGGCACACATGGATGAAGGCTGGACGTCACATCCCCATTCAGCTGCTGATGGTGAGAAATGCGACTTCTCTGGTATCTTCATCCTTGAGAATTTCGTCAGCGAATCAGAGGAGAAACAGCTCTGTGACATCATCTACAGAACGTCGTTCATGAAGTCGCAGTCTGGCAGAAGGAAGCAGGCACGTGATTGAGGTTTAATTTCATGTATCTACTCAGTCCAAGCTGTATGCTGGTCTTTTGTGACAAGCCAACATCTATTGGGCCACACACCGCCACGGGTTAGAATTCATCTTTAGCATGTTAAGCAATCCTTATAGGTCATAGTTAGGGGTGGGTATTGCAGAGAACTTTCATATTGCGATGTGAAAGCATATATTGAGATATGTATTGCACTATATTGCAAGACGGTTTTTTAAACAAAAAACTGCTTATAATCAAGTTAATGCTTGATTTATAAAGCAAAAACACACAAATCACTATGCTTGATTTAGCTTTAATAAAAACTTTTAATCATGACAGAATATAAATGTAAATGATATTTGGCACAAATGAAACAAGGAAAATAACAATTTAACGTCAACACAGTGGTTACTATACTCAGTAACTAAAGTTTAGCAACACCCAATGAAACAGTCCACTAAACAGAAAGAAATGAGGATAAGAATCACTGCAACGTTTTAAACTTTACTTTGACCATTTTCGATTACAAAGCTGAAACAAACAGCGTCATTACGAAATGGAAAGCCTGTGCACTACAAAGTGAGAGGGGTGGGTCAGTGAAATTCACACACACAAACAAGAAGCACGGAGCCCAGCAGAACAGAGATGGTAACGGACGAGCTGCGGATGCACTCGTGTTCCTGTAGTCCGCTGAAGACTTTGAGCATGATCTGGTGCACTGGCAAATCTGTTGCGACGTGATAACGTCACAAGATAACGATCTTAAGATGACTTCGTTTTCGAGGTCTGCCACTGTGTCTTCCACTGACTGGAGACGTGAAATGGTACTCAGGTGGACCTGAAAGTGTCGTCGTAAGCTCATCCCAGCTCTCATCTTTCCAATGGCTTTTGCTGCCATTCCCCTGTGATGCCCTATTGTGTTACAACCTTGTGATGTGGTGTTTTTTGATATGACAGTAAGCAGTTCTGAAGTGTGCAACTGCTTTGAAAATGATTTTAAAGATTGAATTACAGTGGGACCCATATTCCGTTAAATCACGTCCAGTGTTACCCACAGGATGCACATGTGTTTTGTACAGCCAAATTTGGTGTGTTTGTGCGATGTGACCTGCCAGTTCTTACCAGACATTACTGACTTCTGGAGTTTACAATTGCCAAGATTTGGGTGTTGCCAAGCTTTTGTTACTGAGTATAGTTTGAACTAGTTTCTTCACTCCTGAAATTTTAGACAGCAACTTGACCTGGTCCGGACATATCAGAGGTCACTGGTCATCAATGAGTAAATATTTAAAACATTCAGTTCCAAAACATTGCAAAACACACTTGAACAAAAATTAAGAACACAACTTCAAGTCAGTTAAATGTAATTTTCACCACGATCATTCCCACCACCATTACCACAATTGCCATTTTACAACAAATGCATGACTTTCAGTGTGAAAAACGGAAATAAACAAAGATTTACGGGTGTTACGAAATTATCCGAATTCATGTCAAAATACCAGTTTTCGATCAACATAACGCAATACATATTGTTTTCATCTATGAACCGGTAAACCGGTTATATTGTGCAGCCCTAGTCATAGTGTCCCAGTTGTGAGTGACAAACTGTATGAGTTGGGTTTTGTACCACTTTCAGCAATATTCCAGCAATATGGCAGGGGGACACCAGAAATGGACTTCACACACTGTACCCATGTGGGGAATTGAACCAGGGCCTTTGGCACGATGAGCAAATGCTTTAACCACTGGGCTATCCCACAGGGCTATCCCATGGGAAATGAAGTATCACGAACTGTAACTTGATGATCTAATTGTCAATCTTGCTGTTTTTCTCTTTCTAGGACTATGGACCTAAAGTAAACTTCAAGAAAAAGAAAGTGAAAACAGGTGTATTCACAGGATTGCCTGACTTCAGTCAGTTTCTGTATGAGAGGATGAAGACTGTTCCCCATCTTGAGGATTTCATACCTGTGGAACTTTGTAATTTAGAATACGTACCAGAGAGGGGATCAGCCATTGATCCACATTTCGATGATTTCTGGCTGTGGGGTGAGAGACTCGTGACCTTGAACTTGGTTTCTGATACAACGCTGTGTTTCACAAGGGATGATATGCTGGGTGTCGAGGTTCATGTGCCTCTGTTGCAGCGATCTTTGACAGTTGTGTTTGGACCGGCCCGAGCTGAGTGGAAACACGCCATTCATCGACATGATATTAAACAGAAACGTATTGCCATGACTTTCAGGGAACTCTCAGATGAGTTCAGAGGTCAGGGAAAATTGGTATCCACTGGACAAAAGTTAATCGATGTGGCCTTGACCTTTACGGGCACTGCAGTCGGATCAGCTCCGGCTTGATTGTCTAATTCCTTCAGGTTTGTATTGTTGCCATGGTTACCACAAGTCTTTCTGTGCCTAAAACCTATTGCAAATGAATTTTATACCAAATTGTGTATAGCCTTCAAATTTATTGAAATTAAATTTAATATACTGTCAGTTGTATTTTGTACTGTTTCAGTCAGGCCAATCATGAACATATATCTATCGGGAATGAGTTTGGACAATATTTCAGTTATGATAGTATAAAAATAATTCAGTGACAACTGGTGAGACGAAAAAATATGAAAATGAACACCCATTCCTCACCTGCCCTAGTGGATCTGGGGGAAACATGAAATCTGATGTTGAATGTGGGATTCTGCAATGGAATTTTCAATTAAAAACATTTGTTAACATTGTTTGACTAGTAAAGATATGTTAGATGCGTCTGAAAGGATAGTTATGTAAAGCCTGTCAGCAAGTGTGACTTGTGACTAGTACCGGTGTGCTAGCGATATACCTACAATAATACTGGCAAAGGTAGGAGTAGGTTTACATGTGGGAGGAAATCTTGAAGCATGTAATATTGATCATGGCCTATTTTGTCTTCAGGTTCAGTGTGAAGCCCATTTCTAGTGTTAACCGCCGTGATATTGCTGGAATATTGTTTAAAGCGGCGTAAAACCATACTCTCACTCTTCAGGTTCAACCTATGGGAAGTGTAGGGTGCTGACATCAGGGAATATTCAAACACTGAAATAGTTTTAGTCACACATACATTAGTAGCATGCCAATGAACATTTGTGGTTAAATGTGAGTTACACAGTCTGTTAGGAGCTTATCCTGTTACTATTAAGTCTACAGGGTTACAAATATCCGCTTGTACTGGTTCCTGTTGAATGACCTCATTTGCATAATTATTGGATTGTTATAACAAGTTTACTAGATTGTTTTCTCGCATCAGTAACACTGTCCATTTTTATGATGAATTGCTGTACGTAGTCACTGATAATATATGAATAAATAATCAGATATGAGATTAAAATGTAAAACTCGTATTTATCACTTCTGAGTTAGTTCGCAGGTTCATAGTCAAGCCTTGTCCAATTGTGACAAAAGCTTTTACCAACCTAAAATGTCCTGTGCTTAGAGATTCTGGGGTATTATTTTTGAATGGAACTTATGCAGTGAATGGCTTTCTTTTCAGCGCCCACAAGTTTATGCGTGACATAAATGAGAACTTAGAATCTGTGTTGAATACTGACACTATAAATATTATAAAACCGTAACTCTGCCATTGAGTTACTCAAAACTGTCAGGGTCATCGTTTGTGAGTTGCTAATGAAGTTGAAATTAGTAAATTAAGTTCACCGAGATTACCGTTGTCAGTTATTTCCCATTTGGCTATAGTCCTTAGTGATAATGATCACAAGCTGTGGACTTAATTTGAAAGATGGAGCATTAGGTAATGAGTTGTACATTCAGGCATTGTCAAGTTGGGGTTTTATGATTTAGTGTTGCTTGAAATGTGCTGTTTATGTAGAATGTATAAAAAGTCTCAACTGTACTTTTAAAGACGTCTTGAATTGTAGCATTAATATGACATTTTTTCTTGCAGTCAACAGGGAAATGACTCATAGTGACGCTGGAATGCAAGGTGTCTGTAATTTCCCTACTGCAGTAAGTGGAGACAAGCTCCTCAATGCATAATGCACTGGTGTCCTATCCACATACAAACTAGTGAAGGTGTTGAATACTAAGCAAAGGGTAAAACATTTTATCATATTGCGGAAACTTTGCATATGGAGGTGATGGCAGAATAACCTAGTATAGTGTAGTCCAAGATGAAGGGACTTGTTCTCTTACAAAGGTCACTTCATGTCAGTTATACTAAGATACTGATGTACTGCACCATCTTGGTGGATTGTCTTCCATGAACTGTGGTGTGTTGTCTCCCTTGTACTACCAGGCACAGATCAACTGGTCGGAGATATTGCAGTGGACTGAGGTTATTGGGAACAGTACACTGTGCCGTGGCAGACTGCATGTGGGTAATACAGCTGTACTGTGGTCAAAGGTTGAGGGTGGGTTTGAGAATTTGTAGGTATCAACTTCTGTATCATGAGGAATTCTATTGGCATTACCTCAAAATACCATTCAAAGACTGGAACATACACTTTACTGCTGTGTTTGAAGGATAGTGCAGCCCTGCTGTGATAAATGGCTTTTGGATAGTGCAGTTGTGTTGTGATAGATTCATTATTGATAGTGCAGCTGTGAAGTGGTCAATGAGTTGTTGATAGTGCATCTGTCAATGGGTTGTGGATAGTGCAGCTGTTATGTGCTCTATGGGATGTGGATAGTGCAGCTGTTATGTGCTCAATGGGATGTCGATAGTGCAGCTGGGCAGTGGTCAATGGGTTGTCGATAGTGCAGCTGGGCTGTGGTCAATGGGTTGTGGAAAGTGCAGCTGTGCAGTGGTCAACGGCTGTGGATAATGCAGCTTTGCAGTGGTCAATGGGTTCTGGATCGTGCAGCTGTGCTGTGGTCAATGGGTTGTGGATTGTGCAGCTGTGTTGTGATGGATTCGTTATGATAGTGGTGCTGTACAGTGGTCAATGGGTTATGGTTAGTGCAGCTGTGCTGTGGTAAATGGTTTGTGAATAGTGCAGCTGTGCTGTGGTCATGGTTTATGGATAGTGCAGCTGTGCTTTGATGGATTCATATTCATGGTGCAGCTGTGGTGTGGTCAGTGGGTTGTGGATAGTGTAGCTGTGCTGTGATAGATACGTTATTGATAGTGCAGCTGTGCTTTGATGGATTCATATTCATGGTGCAGCTGTGGTGTGGTCAGTGGGTTGTGGATAGTGTAGCTGTGCTGTGATAGATACGTTATTGATAGTGCAGCTGTACTGTGGTCAATGGGTTGTGGATAGTGTAGCTCTGATGTGGTCAGTAGCTTGTGGATAGTGTAGATGTGGTGTGGTCAGTGGCTTGTGGATAGTGGAGCTGTGATGTGGTCAATGGCTTGTGGATAGTGCAGCTGTGATGTGGTCAATGGCTTGTGGATAGTGCAGCTGTGCTGTGATGGATTCGTTGTTGATAATGCAGCTGTGCTGTGGGAAATGGGTTGTGGATAGTGCAGCTTTGGTGTGGTCAATGCCTTATGGTTAGTGCAGCTGTGTTGTGGTCAGTGGCTTGTGGATAGGTCAGCTGTGCTGTGGTCGATGACTTGTGGATATTGCAGCTGTGCTGTGCTAAAACTACTTCTAACTGTGCTGTAGATTAAGACCGACAGGATTAAGTACTCGGGATTAATGTTAGTTATACCGACTGCATGTGTATTTGGTGCGACACATATATTTGTTGTTGATTTTTAATGTAGAGTTTCTTTGCATCAGGTCATGTCGATGGACATGCATACCCAGCTGTCGAACTGATTAAATAACTGAAAACAAGATTCTCAAAACACTCATCGCCAGACTGGATTCCGCGAACTGGTGTAATGTTCACTTCTGAACCTTCCTACTCCTGTCTTCATGATGGCGAGGAACTGGTGGGTGAGATTTAAGGAGATTCTTGTTGATGGTGCTATTGTTCATTTTGTTTTGTGCCGGTTTTGAAATGGTTCCGGATAAAGATTAGCACGGGGAAAGTTCTTATATACAGAGAGAGTATGTCTCACAGCCCCTCAACCACATTATTCTCACCTCGACCCTGCCCTTTCTGCAATGGTAAAGCCCTAAATGATGCAAGCTATATTTCCTGACATTCAGGTTCTGAATCTCCAAATTCACCGTGGCTCTTTTCATTGTAAAATAACTTATTTGGATCTATCAAAATGAGATATATTCGGAGGCTAGGCGTGAGCCTAGCTGTCTATTGGCATCATATTGGCCTGTGAGGGACTTTATCATGGTCCGCATAGCTTCGTGGAAGAGGAGATAAGATAGACCGGAAGTTCTGACGTTATGGCATTGACCTTGTGTTAGACTGACGGTATCAGCGGTCAGACAGTTTGTATCATATCTTCCACATGTTCGCGGATAACGAGCTGTCAACCGTTTTATTGCTATTTTGTTCCAGCTGTGTTGATGTTTAAAGTTTTAATTCGAAGTAGATAAGTTGTAAAGAAACTGAAGCATACACTTAAAGTAGTTTTTCGCTGGATAAGTACTCTTTAAGGTAAGTTGTAGCATTTTGTTTGTTAGCTGTAGAAAAAATCAAACCTGAGCTAAACAATCCAGTGATTAATTTTGCTACACTTTCTCCAACCCGCTGGTACTCTCATCGATACTGCATTCCAGGAACATTTAGTTAAAAATAACGGGTACTTTTTCAGTACCTTCGATGCAGGGTTTGCTATTCTGAAAAGAGTTATTAAATTGGGACCGTTGGTGTCTGTTTGGTGTTTAACGCTGCATTCAGCAATATTCCAGCTATATAGCAGCGGTCTGTAAATAATCGATTCTGGACAAGACAATCCAATGAGCAACAGCATGAGCATCGATCTATGCATTTAGGATACGATAACATGTTTCAACCAAGTCAGCTAGTCTGACCACCCGATCCCGTTAGTCGCCTCTTGCGATAAGCATGGGTTACTTGCAGGGCTCCAGATAATTTTTCAACATCAGGAGTACGTAGTCCTTATTTTTTCAATAAATAAGTTCTGGAAAAACTTAAGAGTACATTTAGAGTACTGAATGGAATTTCATGGGGTATCAGTAATCTTGTGTTTCGTTTCATATATGCACCACAACACTGCTACCCTTGTGTAAACAGTTCAGTAAACAATAAAACAATACTTTTTCAGATAAATAGGTCTGTAAATGATTCTAGGACCGTACACCATCGCTGCGGTGCGTATCTGCTACGTTTTCTGAATTATTTCCTACCGTATCGTGCGAATTTTTTATCCGTACATACGCCGATACGACCTTTATCTTGAGCCCTGATGTAAACCAAAAAGGAAATGCAAGAAATTTAAACAAAGCATAACCCTTTTCTGACAGTTGTCTTCGAAGATTAGGTTTTTCTCACCCTTTATGCATGGGTACCAAAACTTCCCACTGCCGCCCCACCCTGCCAACCCACCATGTTTACCTCGGTTGCACATGATCAACAATTGATACTTGCTGAAATGAAATTTTGAAAATAGTTTAATGAGTGAAGAGTGAGTTTAGTTTTACACTGCACTCAGCAATACTGCAGCTATATAGCAGCGGTATGTAAATAATAGAGTCTGGACCAGACGATCCAGTGATCAACAGCATGAGACCAATTCTAATCCGGATCGTCACGGGTATCTTTGAATTTGCACGAGGTAAGTATAATGCGAAGAGCGTGCAGTAAGAAACTGAAGGAGCAGGATGCTTGTGTGAGCAAGGGAAGCTGTCGAGACTGGTCTAATTGGAGATCGACAGATTAAATATACGAAATATCGTCCACATTGGTCGGCATATTCAGGCGGGTGGGGTGGGGAAGCGATGATTTATGATGGTGATCCAATTTGTGGTGGGATGGTCTGGAGGTGAGCCACTTGGTGGTTTGATGGTGATGAAGTCTGTTCTACTATTGTACCGTAAACATTTTCTGTAATCCATTAAGTACCGGTAACCTTTTTAGTTTGAGTAGAGGATTATCAAGGGAAAACGTATATATCCCGTGGAGCCCTGAAGCTACAATAGTCGGTGTCCATTATTTATTCATTAGATAGCGCTTACCTTATTGACAGGACTATGAAAAGTGTCGGCAGCTATATTTAATAACGTTTTATGTTTTGAAATTGTAGTTAAAAATGAAGAACCACTGATGGCATTGGGGATTTAGAAGTACCGAAACCTTATCTTGACGGTCCTTTTGAGACATAAGTTACTATTCTGTTGCGCAGTTCAGTGCCTCTTGTTTTGACGTTGAATATGATTACATACAATTTGGAAAACCGTTTTACATCAGTTTGCTATTTTTGCAAGAACGCGCTATCTTATAAGAACAGATGAAATGATGAGCTCTTTACCTCTTCGCTTTGTTTTGAAGAGCTACATTGTTTGACGTCACGTTTCCTTTTCACTGTGTGTGACGTCATTGGCAATGTAGCTATGGAAACAACGTTTATGACGTCACAAAATGGCGGTACAGAACAAACCTAGTATTTGAAGATGGATTATTTTCACAATTGGACAAAATTATGACGTGACCAGTGACAAAAGACTATCGCTATGGTTTGTATTTAACTGCTGTAGGTGCAATGGGGGCATATTATTTCTCCTTTCAGAATTTCAAAGTAGATATAGGAGTATTTGTTATTGCGTCATGTGGGCATACTGTTTTGGAAAGAGGATAAGCGTCAGAAGATAAAGCGACAGCTTTTTCTAGTCTGATCTTTATTCAACGCAGTGTTTTTGGAGTTAATGTTTTTATCACTGACAAATCGGACTTGAATATACTCGTGGAAGTCATGTCATGTTTGGCCCCTCCCCTTGATAATATGGTAACCAACGTTGATAAAAAGGGGTAAAACACAAAGATCCCTGTACAACCCTAATACGTCCTTGTATCAAACGCTGCAACTGTTGAAAGTAAACAAAGAAAAATTAAGATTTACACTGAGTAGCGTTTTCTCAAATATTGGGAGATCCATTCTTCTTTTCTTCGCATGCATTGGTTCAGTGTTTTAGAATATTCATGAATGTGAAGAGTCGCGTTGTAAGAATTATGGATTATTACAATCATTTTGAACATTAAAAGGAAATTATTAAAATTTTCGGTACACTTACAGAATACCGGATACCATATTGTTTAGTGTCACGTCAACCTAACCCTAAACCTTACCCTAACCCTAAACCTTACCCTAACCCTAACCAAAAGTAAACTCGCATGCTTTCAAAGATGGCGGAAGGTATCCGGTATTCTGTAATCTTACCATATTTTCAGTCCATCATGACGCCATGTTTGACGCAAAATCATCCGCATTTATTGCATACCTGACTACTACTCTTTGTTGCAATGAAAAACACAAAAACGAATAACAATACGCAGGTAGTCATAATGTTTCTGATCACTTATATCACAATTATATGTATTAAAGATCCCTGAATCAACGAAAAGTCCTCAAAATCCCGGGTACCGATGTCAGCGAAGACGCCATTTTGTGAAAATTGTTCTCCGGTAGAAATATATGGCAAGATTATTGTACATATTAGGTAATTTCTCTGAAGTTAAGGTTGGTTGAATAGACGAACATATATGGCAATCCTATCATAATGATTACTTATGTAGATTTAGCTTATATTTCAGATAGTTTTGAGAATTAATTATGTTATTTACATGCATCCGTGTGCAATATCATATCTGACGTAAGTCAGAAGTATTTTTTAACCTTTCAAATATTTACATAAGATGCGTTTAGCGTAGTATAGAACATTTAAAGCCTTTATACAAGTGTTTGAAGATGACGTAGTGTAATGATGTGCAATATTCAATATTGAATTTCACATAAACACGTTACTGAACAGCGATTCTATTTAATCATATGTGTGAAACTGACCCTGTCACAACTAGGAAGACAATAAACGTTTACATGAAAGTATGTTTTATAAATATTGTGAAATGTATGTTTGAAAATATTGTAATCACATGATATTAAGCTATTGACTTCATTTGTACCAGTACTGTAAAACATAAATATACACGATGACATGGTTACAATAAGAAGATTCTTCTTTTAAAGAATTTTTGTGTGACTATGAAGAGAAAGAGCTAACCACATTAAAATGATTAAGGGAAAGTCCAATATTGAAAATATTGTCATGTGTTTTGAAATATTTGGTTACAAATACTGTACACTCACTCGCGGCCGTACCGATGCGCATTTCGCCCAATAAATACAATACAATATCTAATTGCATATCGATTCGGGACATTCATTTCTCGGTTAAACCAGTTGTTTGATGTTCTGTCGAAAGAGCGTCAAATTTTTTTATGAAAGAAACTTAGACCAACATTCATCAATCTATATGCAAATTCCGTATTTCTCAGACGTTTAAAAAATAAAAATAAAACAAGCCATGACGTCAAATAAAATGGTGTCATGTTTTAGTAAGTTCCTCACCTTTGAAGATAAGAGTCTTACTCTAGTAAAATGGTGCGGAATTAGTCAAAATACCCCTACACAAGCAGGAGAATATGATAATCTAAGAACTTGACATATTACATAGGGCTACCCATTCCCGCTATTACCCTCCATTCTCGGGTAACACGATTTCTACACTTTATAAATTGAGATTCTACCCAAGCAATGCTTTTCACTCTTTACTTTTTAAGCTGCCTAAGAATTTGAATTTGAATTTACACTATCGCATAGGAAATGTATGTATTACATCTCTTAATAATATTATATTCGACGGTACGTCCAGTGCAGCGCGAACGCAATTCACGCAGAACCTTCACATTTCTGGTTTTATAAAAATGTGGGTGTGAAAAATTCTCGACATCCATGTGGTTCATTTGACCTGATAAGGTGACATAAGAAGTCTGAATATACATCCACTTCTCTTTCTTCAGATTTCCCGCCTGTCTGCAGGCCCACCGGGCAGACGACACTCGCTCTTCCAGCATTCTGACATGCGCCTGCGTCCTTCCCGTGACGAACTTCCGGACGTGTCAGAAGTGCACAGTCAATACTCGTTCAACGACATAGACACACGGCACCAACAGGTGATGAAGTACATTCCTTGGCATGTTCACCCGTCAGTCTTGTCAGCTATGTTTACTCAAGCGATATACTTAAAATGATTGACATAATCTCACATAGTCCTCGGTTGACATTGATCGGTGTTTATGTTTATGTTTGCCTCTCCTAGTCACGAATATTTACATACAGCTTCGATAACAGTGAGACTTTTTAAGTTGAGGCGTAAAATGTTGAACCTGGTCAAAAATAGTATCGATTTCAGACATCTTCTTATCATTAACTGAATGTGCTTTTATGACGCAGTCATCTCAAGACCACAAGTCGACATCTTCCGATGACAACTCCACATCTTCAAACAACGAGGACGTTGATGACATCGTGACTCTGAACGTCGGTGGCCGCATCTTTCAGACGTATCGAAAAACGCTGTTGCGATTTCCAGATAGTCGGCTTGGGTCGATGGCTGAGAAGCCGACACGGACCAGGTTCGATGGGAAAAGGGAGGAACTGTTCTTTGACCGGAACTCCGACATGTTTCCATGTATTCTCGGAATGTACCGTGACGGCAAACTCCACATTCCACGTGACGCATGCGTCATTGGTCTGACGAAGGAGCTGGAATTCTGGGGTCTGAGCGAGTCTTTTACGTCTGAGTGCTGTCAGAGGTACTACGAGGATGCCATAGGGGAGATGCAGCTGACGGAAATGATGAAGGAAGAGTTTGAAAATATACGTCCCCGACGCAAGGTATCAAATCCAGCGTTCATCGCGACCTCCAGGGGCAGATTTTGGGAGTTCCTCGATAATCCCGATTCTTCCAAGTATGCCAAGGTTTGTATAATCGACAGGTGAATGTTTGTTGATATAAAACGTATTGTCACAGTACAGACTTTCTTTTGTACAACCACTTATTTTCCGGAGGCGTACAATAGCCACTCTGTATCAACATAAACACTCTGGACATTGACTTACACTGGCTTCGTTTTGAGCCCAATTAATATTATCCGTTCAATCAGCTTGCACGTGTGTCCAAGAGAAATCAGCGCAATCAGTGTCAATGGCGACACGAAGATTTGGAGGCCAAAATATGGAGCCAGAAATTTATCATAAAGAATGGAGAGACTGTACTCTGGATACCGGCGCATGGAAACAATCTTATTAAAGCCGGACCGTTACTCCGATACGATATCTCTCAGTGTCAAAATATGAGAATAACTTCATATGAGATCGTGTAAGTTTAACTTTCGAACCAGTACATCTGTTTTCTGCTTCTCCGAGAGTTCCGAATGTACATAAACACTCTCAGACGCGAGGACCATCCAATGGATATTTCTCTTCTGTGAGGATTTCCATCTGGTCAAGTCGAAATCGATGTGAAGAAGTAAAGCCGAGCCGAGATTTAGGAATCTGACATCAGAGTGGTTCAGGAGTTCAGCCTTCCGTTTGCGTTTGTTCACGGCTACGGGAACTTACTAGGGAGATGTTCTCCGACTTAATCGCAGCGAGAAATCGCATGGAAGTATGTGGACTGCTCCTGAAATATTACAACTATACATGTAATGAATGGCACAAGTAAGAAAGTTCCGTGACCCATGTAATTACGAAGGGGAATCCATAAACTATGCATAGTACATCCTGAAAAATCGATTTATCACATCAGCGTGTGCTTTGGTTGGCAATCATTTGGAAATATAAGTTTTGGCTTCTAGTTTCTTAGGTAATACTTTGGAGGCTGTTTGGTGAAAACTGATTAAATGAGTTTCTTTATGACGAGAGAACGTTGGAAATGTATTTAGAGTAATCAGGATCCATTAACGTGGGTGGGGGGTATATAACTCCGTCGAAAACAGTTCATCCTCATATTCATTCATTTATCATCTTACCTTCATGTACACCATTTTACACCTCTATGTTTATCTCATCATTGCATTAGTCATATCTTACTCTTTCACTCTGTTAGTGCTCTTACCTATTTATTTGTTTATGATCTTTGTGATATGTTGTGATGCCATGTTTTGTTATGTTCTTCGTGTTTTACGATGTAACCAAAATTTCCCTCGGGAAAATAAAGTATTATCTAACTGTATCCATAGGGATATCTTGAATTCAGTTAAGGTGTCATTTTTGAAACTATTTTTTGTGTCTATCGTGAAATTATCAGGGTTTAAAAGATTTTCATTACATCATTCGTGCTGTTTTCATTATTCAGAATCCTGTGAAACGATACAGGATAAATCTAGCATTGGTACACATGGTCATTCGCAAGCACAAATTGAATCAAAGTGCCAGTTTGGTGTCATAATTCCATTTTGTTCATGTTCCAGGTATGGTTCCTGTGCTTTTACGTGTTCCTTTTGATCTCGGTGGCCAACATTTTCTTCAGCACCCACCCCGGGTGTCGCGTCGCCATCGACTCCAACTTCACAGACGACCACAATAATTCCTCTGGCCACCTGACCGAGTTCCTCGCAATCCAGGCAGAAGAAAACCCCAAGATTAAGCTTCTTCTCCACACAAGACCTCACGTTGCTATCATAACCCTGGAACTATTGTGCGCGGTCTTCTTTACTGTGGAGTTCATTCTCCGTGTCACCTACTGTCCCCACCGGAAGTTGCTGTTCCGGGGTTTCCTCACGTGGTGTGACCTCATGTACCTTCTGCCCCTCTGGGTAGAACTGATCACCAGTGCTGTTGACCTTGAACAGTGGCATCAACCGTCGATGATTCCTGGAAAGCTAATCCTTCAGATTCTGATGGTGATGAGAGTTCTGCGAATCTTCACTCTCGCCAAACATTATCGAGCACTACGGGTACTTCTTCTGTCCCTCAGGGCCAGTTTGAGGGAGGTACTTCTTCTATTCACGTTCGTCCTCTTCGCCATCATCATCTACGCCAGCCTCGTCTACTGCGCCGAGATATTTCGCGCAGACTCGTTCGAATCCATGTTTACTGGACTGTGGTGGGCTCTCATCACTATGACGACCGTCGGTTATGGTGACAAGGTTCCTACGTCATGGGCGGGCTACTTTATTGCATCACTGTGCGCGTTAACCGGCATCATCATCATCGGCATGCCTGTACCCATCATCACCAGCAACTTCCACCTGTACTACGGCTTCAGGTCAGCAGTCGATGACTTCGACGACGCGAAGCACCCGACCCCGAAGCCAAAACGTATGAAGCAGCAGATTAGACGCGGGAACAGCTGAAGGACTTCTCTGCAAAGGCAACTATAGGACACTAGTCTTTACACGTTGTAGGTTTTAAATCGATGCTTTAGATCTGAAGAAAACTAGTTGTGTATACTGAACAATGGCTATATAGCTGTGTAACAAAACATGATGTAAGTACGGCAACTTGTGATATGAATAGTGTGTGTGTCAACCTTTAACTGAATATTATTTGGGTCATTCCCAGGATTCCTCCTCTCCTCTGTAGGGATTTTATTATTTAAAAAAACGTACTTGATCCGCCACTTGCGCTATCATTTGCGGAATTGGAGTGACGAACAGATATGAAATTGGCTGGCGACAGTCGTGGAGAAGTGAGTATTGTGAGTGGACCATTTGTTGTTTGTAACATTTCCGAAAGTTAAGATGATCCTAATCATTGGCTGAAATCACTCGACATTGTGAATTAAGATGTCCACAAAACAACATAACCATGGGGTAGTTCTCGAAACAAGTTGATATTTGTCTGTGATGAACATCCAGTGTCCCGTTTCACCAAGCTCTCGTAGCGCTACGACTATCGTAAGTCAATGTTACAGTATAGGAGGTACGAATGCTACGAGAAAAGGTACGAGATCTTAGGCTTACGAGCGCTTTGTGAAACGGGGCCCAGGTTATCGTATGAAAGCATACAACAAGCATTTAAATAAAGCTTCCAAGCCAGACCACTCGCCGTAGAGTCGTCGTAGTTTATGTTGTTCCAACGTCGTGTCTGAACCCGCGAGCATCCTGTACATATAATGGCCGTAGAAATCCTGACACTGGCTCTATACCGCTTGCTTGTAACACTGACCACATTGAGTATTAGAACAGGAGTGTGTGAATGTGTGCTCTTCAACCAGTAATATGCCACGATTGTGTACACGCTGTCGTGTTGATTTGTAAATGAAGGTGTTGTGTGGTCGACCAAATATACAATAAACACGATTTCATGATTTTGTGACTGAGTTGGATATGATGTCACGTTGACCTGTATTTCCGTGGCCGTGTCACGTGGGAGGACTATCTGGAGTAATGTAGGTGCTGGACGGTTCCCAGACTTCTTGTCACACGTGTATAGTGCCAACAACCTACAGACACACCAGGTAGTGTTGGCTGTAATAGTTCCTATACTCACTGGGACCCTCACCAGAGACCATATAAGAGATTATGGTCTCTGCTTTCACACACATGCATATTTCCAAACGGACGATCAGTGACCAAATTTTTGAAACGTAAATTTTGAAAGATAAAAAAAATATGTATTAATATGACACAAAAGGGAGCTCTAAAAAAGTTTTGTAGTTTCACAGACGAATTGTCCAATCGTCTTCAGACACTGTAGTGCAAGTAACGTATACATGTAAGTATGTTGCAATGCTGAACGTGTATGGAACATTGGTTGGGCCATCAGAATGACCCATGGACATGTAAACTTTCAAAACATGTCGGCTCTCTGCAACCAACAAAAGTATTGAGTCTTACGGTGAAATTTGACCCATGATGATTCAGGTTAGAATTGGTCTTCAGCAACTCATGCTTGTCGTAAGAGGCGACTAACGGGATCGAGTAGTCAAGCTCGCTGACTTAGTTGACACATGCCATCATATCCCAATTGCGTAGATAGATGCTCATGCTGTTGATCACTGGATTGTCTGGTCCAAACTCGATTATTTACAGACCGCCACCATATAGCTGGCATATTGCCAAGTGCGACGTAAAACTAAACTCACTCACTCACTACAATGGTGTAACACGAAACAATCGCGTTGTTGCACTGGTACTTTATTGCAAAGATTATCACAGTGAATGCATAGTTAACAGGGAGAGAAAAACAAACGGTGGAAAAACCAAACCCTGGGACACAGGAGCGTGCTCGGAACACTTCGGTACTTTCCGGACATTAACGGACTAAAATGGGGTCAGTTTTTTTATATCAATTTTGATTTCTTTTGTCTCGACCAAAGTGTTCCCAGCCTGCAATGAAAGTCACGTGGGTAAAATGATGTCATTCCCTAATCTCGCCATCACGGGATTTTACGAGATCATGTCATGGTTATTCCACTAGTGCACTAAAACGTGCCGCGAGCTACCTATCTTTTGACACAACCCAAATCGTCAATATAAAAATAAAACATTTTCAAATGGCAAACGGTATGAGATAGTTCTTCACCTGGTGTTATTTACAAAGTATTTACATAAGGAAAGGACTGGCCTATACACCCATGCTGTAAGTATCGTGTATACGCGTGACCTCAGCAGCAGTAAACAAACCGCTGCCGTCTGATTGGTTAATAATACGTTGTGGATGTAAATAGTAAAACTGGAAGAAATTGATAAAATAATAGACCTTCAGTAACTTCGAATGAAGGAAGGTATTATTTAAAAGGAGAACATGAACTTGAAGATAATATATAATAAACAAGAAAAGAAGTATAAACTTTGATAAATGTCACATAAAATGATTGACTTCGATGATTCCTATGACATATTATCAAAAACAGCGGAGTTCAATAGGACATAAAATTCTAATTTCAATATCTGTTTCTAACATGATCAAATCCTATAAATAAATGTATGCAATAGTTATTATTACAAAATTGCCCTAATGTTCAAAATGGCACATCCACACAGGACACCAGCTTGGTGGTGTAGTGGTTAGAGTGTCTGTCAGTGAGCGGAAGGTTCGATCCCCGTTAAAATGTGGTACTTTTCGTTATCCTGTTGGAGCTTGTCAGAGTGACTGATGGGTTTGTTCACAGTATGTTGTGTCCGAGTAGGGTATCTATGTTAAACTCCATGGAACTGTATCTCTTTGAGCTGCGCTATTAAACCGACAATGAGTACAAGCAATCACGTCACTATATAGGCTCAATACTAACTCTACGTTAAAGCCTAGTTCATCTCGACTCATAATAATATGATACTAATAAGAACAGAATGTCCTTAATGGATGCTTCAGTAGCGCTATGGTCGTTGATGGAAGGCTTCGGGATCTCCAAAACCATGTGTGTAAGGAATGCATGCAATTTGACGCAAAAGTGGTAGTTCTCACGCCCGTGTATAAAGACACGTTGATCACTTAAAGATAGTGAGTGAGTGAGTTTAGTGTTACGCCGCCGTTAGCAATATTCCAGCAATATCACGACGGGAGACACCAGAAATGGGCTTCACACATTGTACCCGTGTGGGGAATCGAACCGGGTCTTCGGTGTGATGACCGAACGCTTGAACCACTATGCTACCCCACTGCCCCGATTCTAAAAGAACGACGACCATGGCGTCCTTCCCCATGCCGACGTTTTAAGGGTCACGTGCGGAGATAACATATAGTGTTAAATTGTCGACTAGCATCTCTTTTCCAAACATGGCTGTATTTTTGAAAAGACATCTTAGACTTCATAAACATAATTAATGTCTTTGAGAAATTTCATATCTCCTCTGACCGATTTACAATACGTCATTTATTAAAACATTTAAGCGCCCTACTTCCATTAGACAAAATAAATATACAGTTTGAGAACTGCGAGCTATATAATTCCCCGCTGAAGTCTCAATCGAATAGATCTAGTAGATCACGAACCTAAGCTGTTTCCATGAAATAATCAATAAATATCTGTCTGAATTTGACACCATTATACAGAGCATCTGGATCTAACCAGATAAATATAGAAACACAGAGTTTGTGCACGTAAGTCGGAGAGATATCTACAGGAGTCGATCTGTTTTACGATTCATATTCGGTTCCTATATATCCATGTATATTACCTACAACGCGAGTTGCTCAACAGAGACAGAATCTAGCCGTGCTGGCCAATCCCATGGATGTAATTTATGATGTATTGGTATGTTTCAGGTAATGACCACACTGACGTTACATACCCAACTTGATCGATGCTTTCACACACACAGTCGTGATGTATTATATTTAGATATATGTCTGGACGAGTTGTGCATCGCCTGTCGATCAATAACTGTTCAAGCATCGTTTGAAGACAATGTATTACGACGTTAATCCTCATTCTTCTCTTCAGTGAGTTACAGGCGACATTTGAACGTTTCTTCATGGACAGCCAAACGAGTTATTACCTTGGTTTGGCTCTCTTAGCGACTTTTTGACATTTCAAGATTAAAGTTTTAAGTACATGTATACGTTTTCGCAGATGCCCCACTCTGGCCCATTGCATGGACTCCGGACTCTGTGATACCTTGTGTGGACTCCTAGACGTAGTGTACGGACTTTGAGACACAGAGTGCGGACTCCGAGACACAGTGTACGGACTCCGAGACACAGAGTGCGGACTCCGAGACACAGTGCACGGACTCCGGACTCCGAGACACAGTGCACGGACTCCGAGACACAGAGTGCGGACTCCGAGACACAGTGTACGGACTCCGAGACACAGTGTACGGACTCCGAGACACAGTGTACGGACTCTGAGACACAGTGCAGACTCCGGACTCCGAGAGACTCCGACAGTGCACAGACTTCGTGCACGGACTCCGAGACACAGTGCAGACTCACAGGACTCCGAGACACAGTGTACGGACTCTGAGACACAGTGTACGGACTCTGAGACACAGTGCACGGACTCCGAGAGACAGTGTACGGACTCCGAGACACAGTGCACAGACTTCGGACTCCGAGACACAGTGCGCAGACTCCGGACTCCGAGACACAGTGCACGGACTCTGAGACACAGTGCACGGACTCCGGACTCCGAGACACAGTGTACAGACTGCAGGACAGAGTGTAAGGACTCCGAGACACAGTGCACGGACTCCGAGACAGTGTACAGACTCCGGACTCCGAGACACAGTGCACGGACTCCGGACTCCGAGACACAGTGCACGGACTCCGAGACAGTGAACAGACTCCGGACTTCGAGACACACTGTACGGACTGCAGGACAGAGTGTAAGGACTCCGAGACACAGTGCACGGACTCCGAGACAGTGTACAGACTCCGGACTCCGAGACACAGTGTACGGACTGCAGGACAGAGTGTAAGGACTCCGAGACACAGTGCACGGACTCCGAGACAGTGTACAGACTCCAGACTCCGAGACACAGTGTACGGACTCAGAGACACAGTGTACAGACTCCGGACTCCGAGACACAGTGCACAGACTCCTATACACAGAGTACGGACTACGAGACACAGTGTAAGGACAGTCTAAGTAAACTCTGTATTATTCGTTACACTGCTATACTGAGTCTAACAAAACCGTGTGGAAGGTCGCGTCAGGTAACCTTTTCAATTGACCAATCAGAATACAGCTTACCAAATCGCGAAAGTTGACAATCGCACATACCTTTTGAACTTTTACCTCGAAAATATTTTGTACCCGAACGATTCCGAATGCTATTTTCCGTACGATCGCTTCCGAGTGATGCACATGGAGCACGCCACAACAGTGAGTAAACAGTCGCTGAAAATAGCGTTTTGTAAGTATTCAAGGATGTCAGCTTGAGGAAATATTAGCTAATGATAACCATGTCAACGGAAACCCCAAAGCGTATATTCTGCAGGTCATATATCTGTTTTATGCGGGTTTTCATTTGTTGTGAGATCAGTGTTGGCGACCGGGGAAGAGAAAATACATTTTGTAAGTCCCGCCGAACCTTAAATAGTAGCTGTTGTCTGACTGGTTCAATCCGTTCAGCAGTCTCGCCTTTGATTGGACGGTCATAGGTCGCTCAAAGGTTACCTGACGCGACCTTCCACAAGGTTTTGTTAGACTCAGTATAGCAGTGTCACGAATAACACTGAGCTTAAGTTTACTTAGACTGAGTGTAAGGACTCCTAAATATTGAATGGCACCTGGTACCCATATCACCGAATATGAAATATGAAACATCGTACATAACGAATATTTAGAGTATACGGCACATGCCTGTGTGAGCATTTATCGCGTCTTTTTCATTTTACGGCCTGTTTTCTAAGTGGAGGATTTAATTGGTCCCCGTGACCTCTACAATAAAGAACCTTTATAATAAAGGGTAGAATAGGTCTTGAGACCCCATGCTTGTCTCCATGATGGGATAGATGGAGGAATAGGTTCATAAGACCCTATACTCATAATAATATGCATCAAACAAAAATACAGAATTCCAACCCTGATTGAGTTTTACACCGTTTTGGTGAGGGATCGAACCCGGTCCGGCTTCGTCGTGACGAGCGAGCACTTTAACCTCTTAACTACCCAGCTGCCCATAACCTCTGAATAACCAGATTACAAGTACAATACTGTGTGGATCAAAGGAACAAGAACATTGGAAGGATTACAGCCGACGTCGACACAGTCGAAGCACGAGTATGCTCTATAAACCACTCTGCATAAAACTAAGTCGGATATAACGAACAGTCGATGTAACGAAACTGCAATATTCTTAGTGGTACTCAATGGACGATACGAGCAACGAGTCTCGGATATGATGAACTTCGGATATAATGAACTGACTGTGGGTCTGCTGAAATTCGTTATATCCCGAGTTCAGTGATTAAGAACATGATTAAGAAGTACATATGTCTGGCTTCTGCTTGTAAACAAAGTTTCAACAATACACCTTCATCAATACATTAATATGAGTACGCTACGTATCTCTGGGAGTACGGAACGTATACATTTTACCATGTATGTTCCAGGAATAGTCATATGTAGGCTTTCATTGGCATTTAGTAGTGTAACACGAAGACATGAAACTTCATTAATTTTTCCCTTTGTCCGAATATTATTGTTGATCTTAAATAACGTTTCCTTCTATTACAAAACTGCTCCTGACAAGACCTATACATGTTCCGCCATCCAAATGACGTAATGCCTAGCGGTGGCAAGTGTGATAAAGCTCCCTCTGTACCCTATAGCTTGTCGGCAAACATGATTACTTCCCCTTTTCCTGTGAGTCTTTCTCACAGGTTACTGTAAGAGAAATATTTTCTCCAAGTTCAATAGCAGCAGTATCTACAGCAGGCTTTACCGGGGGCTTCGTCGTTGCTGAACGCGCACTGTTGATGGATACGTCATCATCCTCTTCTTGCAGCATCCGTTCCCGGTCACGGTCCCTACGGGCGAGTCCGTACTGCACATGCGTGTAGTACAGCACAAAGTTACTCACAATGATCGGCACCGTGAAGGCAATCATTAGAAGGCCTGCTACTGCACACAGAGACCCTACAATATAACCTATAGCAGTTTGAGGATACATGTCCCCATAACCCACGGTTGTCATGGTGACCACGCTCCACCAGAATCCTATAGGAATGTTATCGAATCCGTTATCATTTTCAGCAAAATGGATGAGGGACGCAAACACTACCATTCCAATCAGCAGAAACACAAACATCAACATCAGTTCGTTGAAACTCGCTTTTAGGGTGTACAAGAGAATCCATAACCCGGGAACATGGCGGATCAACCGGAAGATCCGGAACAAACGGAGCATGCGCAGAATAAAGATGAAGTCCATTATGGGCATTCCTTGACGTCCAAGGGGATCAAAAACCAAAAACAAGAACTCAATATAGTCCGGTACAATGGCGACAAAGTCGATGATGTTTTGTAAGGCTCGGATAAACTTCTTTTTACTCGGCGAACAGAGGAAACGTGTGAAGTATTCCAGCGAGAAAAACAACAGACATGATAAGTCTATCATCACAAGACATGGGTGTGGCACTAGCTGATCTTTTTCCTTTTTCTTAGTGCCACTGCAACCTGATCTGACGTCACTTCCGTTGGTTGTCATGTTATGTAGTGTTACATTTTTGCTCCAGTCTATTTTCTGGAAATTGAGGAACTCGTACAATGTTCTAAATTGTCGGATGTCTTCCGGTTTTACCCGGAAGTGCGGGTGAGTCTCTGCGCAGAAGGAGAAGATTGAGACGAGGACGAATATGATGGAAACCCAGGCGTAGATCTGAAACAAACACAGGGAATATTTCACTTAAGTATGAAGTCAACAAACTACTCATTGTATGAAAGGTATCATCTCACACAACCTTTAACTAAAAGCAACAATTGTGTCGTTATGTATCGTGGTATACGTGCGTACGAGCAGAAAATATTCCTTCAACTTAACGGGATCGGCTGGTCAAGCTGGTGTCCTGGTTGACACATGTCACCCAATTGGACATGACGATGCCCATGTCGATCACTGGATTGTCATATCCAGAGTCGATTATTTACAGACCGCCGCCATATAGTGAAATATTGAGTGCGGCGTTAGGCAACAGACAAACAAGCAAACTTTAAGTTAAACTAAGTCAAAATCTAAACAAAAATAAATAAATCGCATTGTCCATTGTCCGTTAGAAGACACTGATAGTCGGTCATCTGGGATGAAAGCCGCTGAGGTCAACAGTATGCACCTGCGCATTAATTAAGTACCACCCGATTTTGAAAATAAGATGTGATCCTACAGAAACGTTAGGGTATAGCCATCAATTTAATCAACCTGTAGTTAAAGAAGCTTTATCCACTGACAGTTTTACAAATACCATAACCTTTTCTTTTCTTTATGAAAGAATATGTTGATTAAAATCTGTTTGTTTTGTTTGTAAAGCAACTTTTACTACATTCTTAAATGCTCCTTTTCTTTCAGCTTGTAACCTTTCCTCAAACTCAGTTTACAAACTTCCATCCATTCACAATAAATAACGGATTTATAGGCCACACAACAATCAATTTTTACTTTCACTTTTTAAAATAATGTAACTTGTTTTAGGACAGAAAAACAAATGTTTTAAATATAGGCAATTATCCTAATTAAAGTGCATGGTAATTTCAATGATGTTTTTGAAATGTTAAATGCTTGCTCTATCAAATTATAAAGGGTATTTTTTGGAAAGAGTTTAGAATTTCATTTCAGACAAAATTAATTGGTATAAATACAGGGTGGTGCTTATTTTATGCACAGCTGTATATAACAGTGCGTCAGTTTGATGTGGCAAAGTAACACATAGTGAGGCAGATCTTAGATGTTTATTACATTGCTTAACCCTGGGCCCAGAATTTCAAAGCTCTTTTAGCGCTAAGATAGTTGTAAGTGCCATACGTTAACATTAACTTACTATCATCTTAGCGCTGAAAGAACTTCGAAAATCTAGGCCCAGGAATGTAGTATGGGACTAAGAAACCTCAAATCAATCATGGCTAACTGAATTCAAACCTACGATGATTGGTTCCTGGCAGACCTAAGGGACGCAATTTGTGGTACGCTTGGGCGTGTTGGCACTGACACTTCACCCTTAATGATGAATACTTCAATTTTGAAACGATTGAAAACGTGCTATATATCAAAATATAATATCTACTACATTGCTCCTTGCAGACAGATAATTGAGTGAGTGAGGTTTAGTTTTACGTCGCCTTTCACAAAATCACGGCGGGGGACACCAGAAATGGGCTTCACAGTTTGTATCCATGTGGGGAATCGAACCGGGGTCTTCGGCGTGACGAGCGAACGCTTGAACCACTTGGCTACCCCATCGCATTTTGGGAAAAACCAACCAGACTTTCCCTCGTCCCGGACTAACGAATAAGTGGCCTGTCTAACCCTGGTGGGTCAGGTCTAGGATCCACATTATCTACCGGCCTCTGTCATCAGTCAGCAACAATATCACGGCGGCCTGTTATGATGGAGGCTGGATCACTTTATCAGTCATGTCTAAATTGCAACGTTCCACACCGACAGTTGACGAAGACGCGCAAATCAATCCAATCCCCCCGTCTGATCCCCCGGTCTAACCCGGAGCCTCTTAAGGCCTGAAATCTCTACTGACACAACGTCTAGAATCACGACTGATGATTGAGGAACAGCCAAAGAAGGTAAGACAACCCTGTCAACATTGTCTGTGTTGTCTCTAGGTACATCCAGTATCTACAACTTCTTGTTCAGTCTCTACTACTGTTGCTAATACTACCACTTCTCCTGCTGCTACTACTACTACTACTACTTACTGCTGCTACTACTACTACTACTACCACTACTACTACTACTGCTACTGCTGCTACTACTACTACTACTACTACTACTGCTACTACTGCTACTGCAACTGCTGCAACTACTACTGCTGCTGCTACTGCTACTGCTGCTACGACTACTGCTGCTACTACTACTACTGCTGCTACTACTACTGCAGCTGCTGCTACAACTGCTGCTACTACTGCTGCTGCTACTGCTGCAACTACTACTACTACTACTGCTACTACTGCTGCTGCTGCAACTACTACTACTACTGCTGCTGCTACGACTGCTCCTGCAACTACTGCAACTACCACTACTGCTACTACTACTACTACTACTACTACTACTGCTACTGCTACTACTGCTACTGCTGCTGCTTCTATTACTTCTCCCAGTCATTTTATTTGGTGCTTGTCCATGTTTGATATTTTCCTCGAAACTCACAGAAATTATTTCCTCGGTCAGCGTAATCAGTGTCTACTGAGTTTGAACTGTCACTTACCTAAGGGTGAGTGAGCTTAGTTTTACGCCGCTTTTTTTGTAGCTGACACCAGAAATGGGCTTCCTACATTGTACCCATGTGTGGAATCGAACCCGGGTCTTCAGTGTGACGAGGGAACGCTTTAACCACTAGGCTGCCCCACCAAGCCCTTACATAACAGAAATCAAACTCTTTACCCACAAGACTATCCAACCAGCCTTCATAACCTCGTAATATCTGAACATTGTTCCATATTTCCGTTCATCAGATTCGCCGATATGTATAGCCATATAGTATCTACCTACAGCTGCCTCACTGAATCTAATCCTATACTACGCAGAGAAAACGTTTCGTCTCCAAGGTAACCGACCTCGGCTATGATGGTTCCTGGAAGTCTCTGACGTATGGAGTGAGTGAGTGAGTGAGTTCAGATTAATGCCGCTTTCAACAGTATTTCAGTTATACCAGACGTGTCAGTTTGATGTGGGAGGGAATCCCGGAGTAATGTAAGTCACAATTTTGGTATAGGTAGCAGCGAAAAGCTGTAATATTTATGATGCTTCTTGAAACAGCATTTACACACTCACTCTGACAAACGGACCATCACCGCTGACGCCTTTGCTAACAATAGATTCTGGATATGCATTTGCCGCAAATAGTCCCACAATTACTGACGCGGCGTAACGCAATATTCACTTTGGATAACTGTCAATAACTTCAGAGATTGGGGGTTCGAAAATGTCAGTGTACTGTTATATAACTATACGACTGGTTCCCCTTGAACGGATTATTTGCAATTATCTTCAATATTGCCGCTCCTGTTGAATCATCTGTGATATTAGACGGTCAGTTGCCATAGGAACCTGTCTTGCCGTTCTTTGGAAGCAACATCAACCCGACGGGACATACTCACGTCTTCACCAACCGTTATTGCATCGCTAAAGCGATTGCTTATATTGACTCTTAATTTTCTGACATGTCTGTGTTTCATCTGGGAATCTCGACGGAATAACTTTGATGGATTAAGCAATGCTATCAAACACTTCCGTAACAGTTTGATCTCTGATAGATAGTGACACTCAAACTATTGCGGTAACCTTAGTTCGTATATAAAAACACCAAGGCTAGCCATTTATTGACAAGATTAGCAATAAATAAAAACTAAAACTAGCACGTTATCAAGAAGACTAGCAGCTTATCTAAAAGACAAGCAAATTATCAAGAGGAATAGCAGTTTATCTGAAAGAAAATAAATTATCAAGAAGACTTATCTAAAAGAATAGCAAATTAAAAAGAAGACTAGCAAGTTATCAAGAAGACTAACAAATTAACAAGAATGCTGTCGGCTTAACTAAATAATAGCAAGTTATCAAGAAGACGAGCAAGTTATCAAGAAGGCTAGCAAATTAACAAGAATGTTGTCGGCTTAACTAAATAATAGCAAGTTATCAAGCACACTAGCAAGTTATCAAGAACTACCAGCTTATCTGAAAGATTATCAAGCTATCAAGAAAGAATTGCATGTTATCAAGGAGACTAGCAAGTTGTCAACAAAGACGAAGAGCTTATCTAAAAGACTAGGAACTTATGAAGAAGACGTTATCAACATCTTTCGGGAAAGAACTTTTAGGAAAAGGTCAACCGAGATATTTTCTATGTGTCTATACTGCTTTACACTTCATCCTGACAACTCATGTCATACTTGGGATTACATTTTCTCAGTAAAGTACAAATTCTAGTACTTGGGGGGGGGCTGAGTCCAATGAGGGATTCGAACCCACACCCTCAGAGAATGGCACGTAATCATCACCACACAAAGACAGCCGTCTAACCCACTCAGCCAGCGCGGCTTCCACTAAAATCGAAAGAGTGACGACTGGTAGTTTAGATCATATACTTTGTGTACCTCTGACAAGTGTAACTTATCACACCTCACACGACCGGAAGCTATGAACACACAATGGCAGGTGTAATACCAAACATCTTACATTTGACCACTTTCGAAATGACATCGGTTTTCATACTTTATCATTAATGCTGCTTCTTTACACTATGGTGGCGTTGGGGTAGTCTAATGGTTAAAGCGCCCGTTCGTTACGCTGAAGACCCTGTACAATGTGTGAAGCCCATTTCATTCATTCATTCATTCATTCATTTTTTAAAATTTTTTTTTATTTATTTATTTAATGCGATGGGGTGCTGGTGGTTTTGTTTCGGAACTAAAGGAAATCCTTTTTTCTATCAAACATCAACTTTTTTAACTTATCCATTAACTGCTGAACGTAGTCATTACACCTAATCAGCTGACAGTGTTGAAGTTTGGCATGGTGCCAGCACCGCCCACACATTGTCGCCCCATGGCGTGTTCCATCTCATTACATTTAATGTAAAGTGCTGCAAAGTCATTTCAAGCCTTTTAAAGCCCAAGAATCTTGCTATGGGGGATTGCTTGGGCCATTACAACATCGTC